TTTGTGTTGTGACGGCAAAAACTCCCTGCTTTCATATTAAAGCATTCTTTTATTTTATGCTGCTAATTATGTTGCGTTATTTTCTTAAATTAAATATGTTATAGTTTCAAAAAAAGTGAAGAAGCTAGAAAAAGTTGGAATCAGCATGGAAGAAATAGCCTGATTAACCAATCATCCCAATCAGTCTTCATATGAAACTTTGCGTCTCTTTAGACAATTTCTCAAGGAATTTTTTTCCACTCAATGGATTTTCGTACCCTTCCCGATAAGTTGTGAAGTTATGATAACTGGAGCAAATATAAAGGCTGACTAACGACGGCAAATGAAATTAGAAACAGTTCCCAATCTATTTCTCTGATCAAACAAGAGCTCAAACCTCGTTCACGCCGGATAGAAATCTGGGAAAAGACCACCACGCCTAAAGCAACAATTACCCCCTTAGATTGCAAAGCAGAACCCGGCAACCCGTATTTAAAGAGCGCTAAACCCAATTGTATTGTAGTATGACGTTTATTTCACTTTAATGTAGAATGAGAAAGGTTGCTTGTATCAGGAAAACAACCCTAAATTTCTGACCGCCGCCTAAAGTCAGGGCATCGAGATCTGTCATTTTATCAGAGACACTTGTTGCGACAAACAAAAGTAATTTAAATTGAATTCCGCATTCCGCTTTTTTCTTGCGTGCCAAACAAGTTTTTTCTCTGTACCACATAAGTGTAAATGCTTAAAATCAAAAGTTTTTGTAAAACTTTTCAACTGGAGCATGATTTGGTCAATAGATGCATACGTCTTAAATTCTTGGTTTCGAAACCTTGCTAGGACGTACGCAAAGTATAACATCTAACTGCACAGTTCAAAGTTGGTCTTGTGAACTAAAAATCTGGTAAATCAGACAGTCGAATTTTGATCTTCGCCACAATTTGCTTTCTCAATCCGACATCTGTCGTTGTAATGGAACGTTTTCAATGGCCCCAGATGTTTTCTTATTAAATTAATATTATACGCGGCGGGATAAAAAATACGTATACCCTTGGTGCACACTCTGATGCTTAACAAGACTCAAGACACATCCAGCTGCTTAGAGATATTCTCATAAGCATGCATATATATAATTAATATACGTTTAATTAAAATATAATAAAAGATTAGCTTAAAAAACGTTCGTTTTTGATCAACTTTGAAATGATGATCAATCACAGGTATTTCAAAGCTTAGCGGATTACTTTGCGGACACTTATATTGGTGCTTTTCCAGGAAATAGACGCATCAAAGAGAAGTTTGACATTGCTGTATGGCATGTTTTTAATTTGGTGCTCAGCGGTGAATCTCGTAAAAATAAGGCATCAGAGGCATGGAAAAGCAGCTTCAAAAAATTATTGTCGATAAAGAATACATCCCTAACCAAGTTCATTGTACATTTCAAAGATGCGCAAAAAACATGCCAAAGTCAATATGAGAAGCCGGTGATAATATGAGAAAGTCAAAACTCCAATGTTCAATCGTCAACAAAAACTTATGCAAAACGCAAGTAATTACAATGAAATGAACAAAATTTTCATAATTTTGTACATTCAATTTACACATATTCTTAGAAACTTAAGCAGAACAAATTCTTTTTAATTTTTGATGTTTAATGTGTGTTTGATGTTTCTGGTTTGATTATTCGATGATTGAAAAGTAATTGACTCTAATAAAAAATATTTTTTTAAATCTTATTAAGACGAATGTCTACGGTTGAGCTATCTGATTTTTTTGCGGTTGAATTGTCTGTATTTGAAATTGGCTGAAATTTTTTAAACCGAATGTTCTCTGCGCCCTAAACACTCTATAATAATCGTGTTCGCTCCCTCAGAAATATAGACAAGTAGCTCAATTTAATTTTACGTTTTCCACTGGATGAATGTTTCAGAATAGGAATTTTTCATAATAGGAATCACAAAATAGTGTTCACATTTTCTTCATATTTGTTCTTATTTTTAGGTATTTTTTTTATCTACAGGGTTAATTGGCGAGATTATCTCGCGAGACGGCGGGGGATGGGAGTTTTTATTCATGGAATCAGATGTGATTTGAAAGGGCGGGGCTGTATATTGGCTGCAGGGAATTTATGTTAAAGTTTTTACAATTCCATATTACCATCGACTAAAACGAAGCTAATAATTTTGGTCTCCCACCTTAAAGAAGCTAGACATTGAAGCAGACAATTGAATACGACTCATTAGTGAAGTTAGCTAAATACTGAAGAAAGTGTTTCAATCGTCAGGAGGGGCAATCAAAAACTTGGTGCGAAAATGCCCTGCCTGTGCCTACTCATCTACATAATTGTGCTCAGGAGGTTGGCTGCTGGTTAAGATGAAGTCTGTCCTTCTCATATTTATTCCTAAGCCCTTAGTTTGTTTTTAGGGCGTAAATTTATCACATATTACCAGATTTGCCGAGTATGAATCGACTAACTACGGTCTTTCCCGGCTACCCAGATTGCGAGAAAACTCGAATCGATTGACCTGGAAGAAGATCCCTGCGCGCTGAGTAATGCAGTATTTTACACCCTATTGACCGATTAGATTTTGAGCAGGGGTGGCTTAGGATTTTTATAAAACAAAAAATTTCCTCAAACTGTTGAGGTAGAGTGACTTGTTTGATTTTCAGCGCTATTTAGACTGGACGTTGCAATTGGACAAAAATTGATTTAATTATGCAATTGGCTAGTTCGTAAATAAAACTTCTCTAAATCTTACCTTGCTCTTGAAGAAATTTTGAGCTGCACTTTCAAAAATGTTAACTTCAATTTCGAACAAGCAACAAAAATGAGCCAAAACAATTGTATCAAATTATTTGAATAGAAAGGAAAAATATATCAAACCTATTGAATCAACAGAAAATGTTACTATGCAAACTAAACAGATGTCTCCAACAACAAAAAGCATGTCATACTTTTAAGCTGGGGCGTATTAAGGGAGGGGGGCTTCTTCTTAGGATTCGACCATCTTGCCAACCAACGGGTCCCCCTTTGGTATTATATTATGACCTCCATTTTTGAATGACTGGCCGTTATCTTTTTTGAAGTTAAGCGCGCCGCTGACGCCAAGATACAATGATTTTTCAAGAGGAACATGCGCCGGAACAAAAAAAAACTTTCAAACATGCTCAAAAACGGTTTTTTTGGCCTTTTTTAAAAAATGGCTTCGGCATGACAATAGTGTTTTTTAAAATCTTTTGAAGAGACCTCGGAAAATCTATTTGGTCGAAAACCAAATACACACTTTCCCCACCCCTCGAAAATATCCTTAAACCACAATTGGTTTTAGGACAGGAAAAAAGACAGGTTAACCCGTTGCTATGCAAAAATGTTAAACAGTGATTTTTTTGCATCATGATTTATGATGGAACTGCTTCAAAAATGGTTCAACTTTGTTGATTTAGGCTCTGATCAAAATCTTTTTAACTGTGATCAGCACTGAAAATTAGGTGAATCATTAATAAAAATAGTAACTGCTAAATAGTAACTGCATCGGCACGGAGTTTTGTCTTTCAAAACGAAAAAAAGGCAACAAAAAAGTTCAGTTCAGATATCAAATGTTTTTACTCTAGCAAATATGTTCTCTCTGCGAAATCATTGCAAAATTACATAAAAATTTTACAAAAAAAAAATAAATTAAAGCAAAGATTGACGCAGAAGCGAAGCTACGCTTTGCAAACTAAAGCAAAAAAACGATAAAAACCAGCTCTATTAAATGAAAAAATAAATATCAAAAAATAAGCCTCAAAAAAGTAAAATTTTTTGTAATAGCTCGGATCCGATCCTTCGACCTCGCGAATTGAAGTCTCACGTTCTTTCGTCTGCGCCACAAAATCATCAAAAGTCATATAATAGCAAGAAAATGAGATCAGCAGAGAACAGATGCTATGAAATTTATACGGCGTAAAATTTATCGTAAACAAACAGAAATTTGGTTAATGAAAAATTGATTTTTGATTGAAGTTTTCTAACCTTAGATTTCTGATTGGCATTCCCCTCCAAAATTATTGCAGACAAAATAGTTTCTTGAGATCGACCTAAGAAGCAGATGTTTCGTATTCTCGCCACGCAAGAGACAAAGAGGGATTAATTCACCCAAAGGATCTCATTGAAACTCATTCAGTCCAACATTCAATATTCGGATTACAGCTTTGGACACTGCGGAATATTGATTGACAACTACTTACATCGATTTTGGAATTAATTGATAATAAAAAGAACTCGATACTACTAGTTGCAATAAATAATGGATGATGTTAAAATGTCCGTCGCTGGCTTATGCAATAATTAATGTTACAAACAATCCAGAAATTTGGTTCATAGCTTGTTTTTCAGGCTTTAAAAATGAAATTGTGGTTTCTGAACAACTGCAGCTTTTTACGTGGCTAAAAATAGCCCACTTATTACCATATCTCAAACTGTGATAGAATGGACGTCCGTCCAAAATGAATAGTGTCTCTGAATTTGGGCTGAATGGTGCGCAATTTGAAGGAAAATAAGGGACGCTTCGGTTTCCAAGTCTGAACACAATTTGAACAATGAGAACAGATTAGTTCCAAGTTAGGTTCCGAAAAAGGTCTCCACTTTCAAATCAACTGAATTCTTTTTTTCTAAAATTTATTTCAGAGCCTTGCGAGCTATTCTTTATCTGCATAGTTTTACTAAATGAAATCCCAACACGTTTTAGCTATAAAGGGTAAAAAGTGTTCTTTTTGAACTTGTTAAGAGTTATGCTAATTGAATAGTATTCCAAGTGCAGGTGTAGTGCATCCTGGTCAATTTGGGTGACGCGCTTGTAATTGTCGATCGTGGGCACAAGAACTGCCCTTTTTATCCAGTTTTTCCACAGGCAAAATGAGAGGAGGCGCTGTCACAATGTGAACAAAAGACGAGGGCCACAAATTGAATTATGGTGCAAAAAAAATAATTTTCAAAGCATTCGACGTTCGATCGTCCCCCAAAAATTGAACATTGCACTTACCACGGATTAACATTAATATCTATTCTGTAAGACCAGTCAGCAGGGCAATCCATATTGCGAAAGGCGCTCCAAGCACAACTTCAAATGAGTAGAATAAGTCCAACAGCGGGCTTTTATAGTCTTCAATTCTCTCTACAACGTTTTAATATGCCAAATATTGAGCATCAGACCAAGTTCATGCTCATTTCTGAGCAAAAAAATGAGCAATTGAAAATAATGAAAACAATTGCTCTAAGTCAGCTTAAAGCATTGCTTAATCAAGGAAAAAAACTAACTACTGAAGCGTAAAGAATTAACTGCTGCACTTTATGAACGAAAATGAATTCAATTGTTGCAAATTAAAAGGATGAGCTGCAAAAAAAATGAAAGCTAAAAAAACTACTGATTATAATTACTTCCAAATCGGCAGAAAAATTTTGTAACTGTTTAAAATTGCTTAAAGTAAGATGCCTAAATTAAAGTTGTGATGCAAAAAAATGTGCGATTGAGTTGCTAGCAACCTTTCAACCGGATCTAGAAAAATGTCTGCTCCGTATTTAATCCAACCATTGTGGCGCTGTGGAGCATCGGTAGTGATAGTGCCGAGCAATCTTATGATTGCAGGTTCAATCGTACGTGCGCTGCAATATACAAGGTCAGCTCTTGCAAGATAGCCATAGCTTAGTTGACTTTAAATAGTTAACCTTCGCGTGAGGCCTCTGATTGGTTAACTTAAAAAAAAATAAAAATTGGGGAGGAAAATTGTTTTCGCGTGTGTTTCAGTTCTTTTTTTGTTTTCCACGCAAAATCAGATGCCACAAATAATCATCGGACTGGGTCAATTAATGTATCATGTAACAGCTTTTTCGTCGTAATTTGGACAAAACTAAAAAAATTTCAAAAATTTGTCCCAGTGTCGAGAAAAACTTATTTGAAGTTGTTGAGATATTGTCTAATTTTGAGCGAGTAATGCATTCGCGTAATGTTATTTTTATAACAATTGGACGTTTAGGCTCAAACTATTTTTAAAATGAGGATTTTTTTAGAACTTCTTTTAGCGCTTTTCCTTTTTCGGCCATAAAAATGTTCTGAAAAAAACTTAAGTTTATTGCATTAAAAAAATATAACATTTTTGACAATTATTTTTGAAATTTTTTCTAAACATTTTTTGAGGCTAATTGTTCACTATTAAGCCTAATTAGTCATTTTTTTTAACGCGTTTGTGAAATTCTTTTTTCACACCATAGGCAAAAAAACGACACTAAAATGAAGACAAACAACAACGTTTTTTTTGTAATTTTTTCTATGAATCTGGTGGGCATTCTGTACTACTTGCACAGCAACCGGCTATTATTGTTGTTGCCACCATTGAAAATGAGGAGGTACTTTGTTTTTGGGTGAGTTTTAGTTATTTTTCCACGCAATGCCACGAAAATTCCAAAACTATTAATACTCATCCGAATGGGTTGAGTGATACATCATATTACAGCCTCTTCAGTCGTAACTTTAACGATTTGAAATATTAAAAAAAATTGTCCAGTGTCGAGTAAAACTGGTTTGAAACTTTCGAGATTTAGTCTTATTCCGAGTAACGCTCCGATTTTACTCGGAATAAGACGGGGTAACGCTCGATTTTCATAGATTATATCGTTTTGAATATTTCATTTAGCGCTTAAATAGAAAAAAGAAAATTTCCTTAAAATTTTTTAAATAATTGCGCACAAATTTAGAAAAAACTTAAAAATATTTTTAATTCGCTATTTTTTCAGTTTTTCGTGATGCTGAACCACTCACCAATGACACCACCTTTTAAAAATTACACTATTTTGAAAAGTAAAATTTTTTTTTTTCTATTTTCTCAAGAATATGATCCGAAGAATCTGTGCTACTTGCACAGCAACCGGCTATTCTTGTTCCGAGTTATGAAGAACAAATGAAAAATCAGAACTCCTTAACTCGTGTATGGGTAAGGAAAGTCAGTCAATCGGTTTTATTTATAGGCTAACAGTTCCGTAAGTAAGGCAACCAGTAGATAAACGCCAAAAACTGATTAGTGCTAGCATTTATGAGACCATAAGATCGATTAAGCATTGTAAAGACACGTAACGATTGCAGATGAAAAGAACTGTGAACCAAACATACTG